TTTGCGCCTGGCGAGTTCCCCAGCCGACTTTTTCTCAACAGAAGCTCCGAAAATGTCGCCCTTGCTGACGCAGGCCCTTTGTCGCTAGCTGCCGAAGATCCTTCCGAAATCTTCGCGTAACTGTTGACTCAGGTCCGCCGGCGTCAACAGCCACACACAGTGACGACGTCGAGGCTGTTCATGCAGATGCCGACGCAGGTCCGCTGACGCCAGCTGCCACGCAAATAAACCTCCGAAATCGTCGGTAAATCGCAGCGGAAATTACTCACTTTAATGTCGCGACAGCTACAGCTGCCCGTTGCCCGGGGGGAGGGAGGCCACGGTCGATCGCAACCGTTCGAGGCAAGGATCCGGCGGTGCCAAGGAGTGCACGATAAATCCATGGCCGCGAAGAGCAACTAACCCGTTCTCTTGGCCGGCCTAGGCAACTCCTGGACCCCAAGACATCCTTCCTCGTCCCCCCCTCGAGTGGTACTACACTCTAAAAAGCGGGATAGGCTAGGAAAGTAGCTCTGATACCAGGTGTTATGAATGAACTTGCAGAGTGCGCAGTAAAACGAATATCGAGAATGAACTGAGTACTGAATTACAGAATCACTGAATGAACAATGAAGTAGCGAGGCCTAAATAGGGGAAAAGCTAGCTAGGCGGGGAGGTTGGGCGAGGATGGCTCGGTGATGGTTGCGATTGGAGCGGAGGCCGACTCGGGAGTGGTTCGGTGCGACGAAATAGGAAGGTCAGGTTCGTCGCGTGACCCTCGGGATGGCCTCGCTAACGAGTGCCTCAGCAAGGATTTGTAAATCCTTACACATAACGTGAATTGTAAGGAATTTTCCCGAATTCCTTATCGGGGTTGACTGCTTCGCGTACAACCCGATTTTCGGAGTTCGCACGTCCGGCCGATTTCAACGCTGCCGAGGCTCCTCGCGTCGCCTTCGCCATTTCCATCGCCAAACTGTCAGAATAACATATAGTTTTATATATTGTTTTGTAACTGCCTGTAGTGTAGATTACTGTAGTTATACAATGTTCTGTTTTGGTGGTGCACCTTTCATTTTGCCTATATGTACTGCTCGCTCTATAGTGAAACCACTTCTTCTCTTCAAATTTCTCGACTCTCCTAAACTTACTCGAACTCAACCATGGCTCCTAAGCCTACCCATTGCTAGTATCTTGACATGGTATCAGAGCGACAAGGTCCTGACCTGTGGGCCCCACTTTAAAGCTTCCGCTGCTACTCTGTGTTTGGCACGCCCCGTGGCGTGCCCCTTATTCCCTTCGAGCGGCCCCGCCACTTCGTCGCGGCCCCGCCACCCCTTGAGCGGCCCCGCCACTTAGTCGCGGCCCCGCCTCCCCTTCGCGCGGCCCCGCCACTTCGTCGCGGCCCCGCCACTCCTTCGAGCGGCCCCGCCACTCCTTCGAGCGGCCCCGCCACTCCGTCGCGGCCCACCCGCCGCCCTACCTGCGGCCGTCCCGCCGCCCTACCTGCGGCCTACTCGCCGCCCGTACCAGCCCGTCGCCGCCCTTCGCGGCGTCACGTACCGCCCGTACGACGCGCCGCCGTCCGCTGCGGCCCCGTCGCCGCCCGTACCGGCCTGTTGCCGCCCGTCCCGGCCCGTCGCCGCCCGTGCGGTACCCGCCCCAGGCCCCGATGCCACCTGCGGCCCCGCCCTCTGCGGCCCCGACCCCGCCCCGGCCATGCCCTATCGCCAGCCGCGGCACACCGGGGGCACGTGCACCGCCCCCCCCCCCTTTTCCCGTCACCCGTCGCGACTCCTTCGGGGGCCGCACGCGGCCCCCTCAGGTCGCCTCGACAGGTGTCGGGAGGGGCGACCTGAAAGGGGGGGGGAGTCGTCGCCCCCTCTGCCGCTTGCTTTGGTGCCCGGGGAGGCCGTGCGTCGCCCCCCCCCCCCCCCCCCCCCCTTCCCCCCCCCACCCCTTTCTCCTCCTCCTTTTGTTCCCTCTGCTGCAGCTGCCGCTGGGGGGGAGGGTGTGAGAGTGTGGGGAGCCCGGGGAGGGACTGGGGGTGGCGGGTGTGGGGGTGATGGGTGAGTGTGGTCCCCTGGCCCTACGGCTCCATTCTCCTCTGTTTGTCCCCCCCCTCTGCTGCTCCTGCAGCAGGGGGAGGGGGAGGGGGAGGGGGAGGATGAGGGGATGTATGTGGTGACCAACCAGAGCCTATCACCTCCTCTCCTCTCTCTCCCTCTCTCTCTCTCCTCCTCCTTGCCTGCCCTCTCCCGTACTGCTACGCACTCTTGGTGTACCCCATTATGGGGGCGTTGACTGCACATTCTTCCCTACAGGCACTTATGGGGGCGTGTCAGAATAATATATAGTTTTATATATTGTTTTGTAACTGCCTGTAGTGTAGATTACTGTAGTTATACAATGTTCTGTTTTGGTGGTGCACCTTTCATTTTGCCTATATGTACTGCTCGCTCTATAGTGAAACCACTTCTTCTCTTCAAATTTCTCGACTCTCCTAAACTTACTCGAACTCAACCATGGCTCCTAAGCCTACCCATTGCTAGTATCTTGACACAAACTTGCACCCAACCTCGTCTTCCGAGGTTTCCTCCTAACTAGGCTAGCCCTACATTAGTCTGTGCACTCATTGTATTCTCAGTTCATTCAGTGACAGTCTCGTTATTCGTTTACCTGCGCACTCTCTTTTACAACTCATAACACCTGGTATCAGAGCTACTTTCCTAGTTCACCCCGCTTTTCCGAGGGTAGTTTGGTGGCATAGGGTGTGGCTGGTTTAGTGACTACACGACGGTTGGCTGCAGGGATTGTTAATTCAATCCTGCCCGACTCCGATAGTTCGTGTTTTCACTTGCCTGAAAGCCACGGAGACCCGACTGCCCACCAGACGTAGCGCTATGCACATGGATCAGGAGGCTGTTAACCGGATGATGGCGCAAGTGGCAGAGATGCAGGAGAGCATGAAGACATTAATGGCGGAAGTGACAACACTACGAGAGGAAAACGCCGAGCTACGCCAGACGCGAGGTGAAGCGCGTCAGGAGTCGCCTGTGGACGAAGGCGAGGGCAACAGTCAGGCGATGAGCAACCCACTGGATGCTCACACACGTGACTTCAAAGAAGAAGATAGGCAACGAGCGACAGCAGCGCCAGTTGCAGTTACGACGATCAAGATCAAGCCCGTCAACCCGCCCCCGTTTAATCCTACGGACAAGACAACTACAGTGAAGGGGTGGCTGTTCGGTGTCGAGGTCTTCTTCACGGCAGCAGGCGTTAACGACGATGCCACGCGTATTAATTACGCGGTTTCACTTCTTCGGGGCGCGACGCTTGAGTGGTGGCGCCGGACCTTGGAAACATGGACTCCGACAGGTGTGACACATGCGGCAGACGGGACCTCTACAGTGGTTAATCAAGTGGCAGAACCGATCTTCGGTGTGACCAAGATACGCACGTGGAAGGAGTGGGGCGCAGCCTTACGAGATCGCTTCGAGCACGTATCCGCCTCGGAGCAAGCTCGCATGAAGCTGCGTGCATGGTCGCAGATGGCTTCTGTCCAAGACTACACGACGTCATTTATGAGCCTCGCCGACCAGATCGATGACATGTCGGAAGCAGAGCGGTTGGATAAGTACGTCAGCGGCCTTAAATATGAGATACAGTTTGAGGTCCGCCGAAGCCGCCCGACATCGTTCCTCGAAGCAGTACGCGTGGCGGAGTCAATTGATGCGCTGATGCAGTACGCGAGAGCAGCTTCCAGGGATGGGAGAAGCTTTCGTGGCCAGACCCATCGGGCCACGATCAACGCCGTCCATACACCCGACCACCTTCCTAAGTGTCAGAACATTATAGCTTACTTATTTGTGTAGGCTATAGTGGGGTATTCCATAGGGGGTACAACCCCGTTAGGGTTTCCTATTTGTACTCACTTCGTTCATAGTTCACTCATTCTCTCGTTCACTTCTTCTCATGGTATCGAGCAGGTTCCCCTGTGGGAACTTTGCTTAGGGCCCACCACTTCGAAAACTTTTTTTTCCTGCCCTAGCGCCCTAGCGCCCACCCTAGCGCCCGCCCTAGCGCCCTAGCGCCCGCCCTAGCGCCCGCCCTAGCGCCAGCCCTAGCGCCCTAGCGCCCGGCGCCCACCCTAGCGCCCGTGAGCCGCCCGCGGCCTGCCCGTGAGCCGCCGCCCGTGAGCCGCCGCCCGTGAGCCGCCGCCCGTGAGCGCCGCCCGTTAGCCACCGCCCGTGAGCGCCGCCCGTGAGCGCCGCCCGTGAGCCGCCGCCCGTCAGCCGCCGCCCGTGCGCCGCTCGTCAGCCGCCGCCCGTGAGCGCCGCTCGTGAGCCGCCGCCCGTAAGCAGCCGCCCGTCAGACGCCGCCCGTGCGCCGCCGCCGTCTGCGAAGCCGCCGCCCGTGAGCTGCCGCCCGTGAGCCGCCCACCCGCGCGCCGCCTGACCGTGAGCCGGCGCCGCCCGTGAGCCGCCCGCCCGTGCGCCGCCAGCCCGCCCGTGAGCCGCTGGCGCCGCCCGTGCGCCGCCCGTCCGTGAGCCGCCCGCCCGTGCGCCGTTCGCCCGTGCGCAGCCCGTCCGCGAGCCACCCGCCCGCCCGTGCGCAGCCCGTCCGTGAGCCGCCCGCGCCGCCCGTGCACAGCCCCCGAGCCGCCCGCGAGCAGCCCGCGAGCCGCCCCAGCCGCCCGTGCAGCCGCCCGTGAGCCGCCCCAGCCGCCCGTGAGCCGTCCGCGCGCCGCCCGTGACCCGCCCCGGCCGCTCGTGCAGTCACCCGTGCGCCGCCCGCGAGACGCCCGCGCCGCCCGAGCCGCCCGAGCCGCCCGAGCCGCCCGAGCCGCCCGAGCCGCCCGAACCGCCCGAGCCGCCCGAGCCGCCCGAGCCGCCCGAGCCGCCCGAGCAACCTGAGGTGCCGAGCTCCTGCTCCTGTGGGGCTGCTGCTGCTCCTGGACCGGCGCAGCCGCTGTGCTGCCGTGTTACTGTACTACTGAGCTACCCGACTCCTCCTGCCCGATGAGACTGTCAGCTGCTATAATGGCCACCCCCAGTGTCCTGGCTTTTGATGCTGAGGGTCGCGCCATTGACTTTGCAGTCTGGGTCGAGGACCTGCAGCTGTACTTACTGTGCGATGCGATAGATGAGGTTTCTCTCTTTGACTTTGTCTCTGGCGCTATCCCTGCCCCTCCTGCTGATGCTGACCCCACTGTTCGCTCCAAATGGGCCACACGCGATGCTGCTGCACGTCTTGCTGTGCGTCGCCACCTCCCTTCCTCCGAGCGTGCGCACTTTAGTCAGTGCAAGACCGCTCAGGCCTTGTACGACGCTGTAGTTGCGCGCTACTCCTCCCCTTCCTCCGCTACGCTGAGCCGCCTCATGCTACCGTACCTCTTCCCTGACCTCGCTGCCTTTCCCACAGTCGCTGACCTCTTTACCCACCTCCGCGCTAGTGACACTCGCTACCGCGCTGCGCTTCCTGCTGACTTCCGCGCCGCAAACCCTCCTCCCATGTACATCACTCTCTACTTTCTAGTCACCCGTCTCCCTGAGTCCCTTCGTGCCGTTAGGGACCAGTTTCTCTCTGTCTGTCCCACCACCCTCACTGTCGACCTCCTTGAGAAGTCCCTGCTAGCGGCTGAGAAGAGTATAGTCGCTGTAGGGGCCTCTCGTGGTGACCCTCGCACCCCCATCTTTGAGGGGTCTTCTCCCTCCCCCCTGTTACCCTCTGTCGCCTCTGCTGCTGCGGCCGACCTCGTTGGTTTGGAGTCGGTCGGTGCGGCGTCTGCCCCCAGCGGTAGGCGCCGCTCAGGCAGGGGCAAGGGGGGCAAGGGAGCGGGTGGAGCTAGCGGGGGCAGTGGCGGAGGAGGTGGGGGCGGCGGGGGGAGTGGGGGTGGCGGTGGAGGTGGTGGCGGGAGTGGAGGTACTAGTGGCGGCAGTGGAGGCGGAGGTGGTGGCGGAGGTGGCGGTGGGAGCAGCGGGGGCGAGGGTGGCGGTGGCGGTGGTGGCGGCGGAGGCGGGGGTGGCGGTGGTGGAGGTGGTCGGAGTGGCTCGTCCCAGCGGAGCAGCACTGGGGGTGGTCAGCGCCAGCAGCAGCAGCAGCAGCGCTCTCGCGACATCCCCGCCCCTCAGCAGCTCCGTGAGTGGTACTCGCAGCGTCAGCGTGGTGGGGCGTTCGGTCCCTGCACCTACGTCCTTCGCACCGGCGACCGCGCGGGTGAGCAGTGTGGGGGCACCCACACCGCCCGCCGCTGCTTTGCCCGCTTGACCGACGCTTGGCGCCAGCAGTTTCCGGAGGCCTCTGAGATCCCCCGCTGGGGAGAGCTGTCTAGGGCTGGTGTAGCTATCTTTGATCTTGACTTTGATGCTATCCTTGCTGCCATGTATGCTGTGACTGTTAGTGATGAGGGTGACTGTTACCGGTGTTTCCCGCCCGACCCGGGCATTGGTACTGCTGTGTCAGGTGCCAGTGAGGCTGCTGCTCTAGGTGCCAGTGCGTCTGTGCTCTCAGGTACTAGTGAGTCTGCACTCTCAGGTACTGTGTCGGCTTCGGCCTCTCACACCTTCACCCTTGACTCTGGGGCGTCTCGCTCCTTCTTTCGGGACCGCACCACTCTCACGCCGCTTAGTCGGCCGGTTGCGGTGTCCCTGGCTGACCCCTCTGGGGGTCCTGTCCTGTCTTGTTTCTCCACAGTCCTCCCGTGTCCGGCGGCTCCCTCTGGCACCCTGACTTGTCTCTACCTCCCCTCGTTCTCTACAAACCTGGTGAGTGGTGCTGACCTACAGGATGTGGGTGTCCACCAGTTCACTCCTGCTCGTCAGCGGGTGACACACTGCACAGAGGCCAGCATAGGTCGCCACCTGGCTACGTTTACACGTCACCCAGGGTCGAGCCTGTACACACTGACCACTGCTTCTCCTCCAGGTGCTGAGTCTGGTAGAGTCCCTTCGTCTGGTCAGGTGTTTGCTGCAGCGTCCAGGTCTGGTCCTGAGTCTGCCCCCTGTTCGTGTCGCCGTCTGTCTCACGAGACCCTCCTCTGGCACCACCGCCTTGGCCACCCCTCTCTGCTTCGGCTCAGAGGCATGGCCTCCCGTCTTCTTGTGTCTGGTCTCCCCCGGTCCCTCCCTCCCCTTCCTCAGGGCCCTGGCCCTGCCTGTGTCCCCTGTGTCGAGGGGCGCCAGCGTGCTGCCCCTCACTCCTCCCAGTTTCCTCCGAGAGAGGCTCCGTTGCAGACGCTTCACATGGACGTGTGGGGTCCTGCCCGCGTCCGTGGACTCGGTCACGAGCGCTACTTCCTGTTGGTGGTTGACGACTACTCGCGTTACACCACAGTCTTCCCCTTGCACAGCAAGGGTGATGTCACTGAGGTGCTGATCGACTGGATCCGCGCAGCTCGTCTCCAGCTCAGGCAGAGCTTTGGCTCGGACTTTCCTGTGTTGCGTCTGCACTCGGACAGAGGCGGAGAGTTCTCGTCTGGCCTTCTGCGTGCCTACTGTCGTGCGCGAGGCATCCGCGAGACCTTCACGCTTTCGGACTCACCGCAGAAAAATGGGATTGCAGAGCGCCGCATTGGCATGGTCATGGACGTCGCTCGTACGTCTATGATGCATGCGGCTGCCCCCCATTTTCTGTGGCCGTTTGCGGTCAGGTACGCGGCGCATCAGATCAACCTCCACCCCAGGGTCTCCAGGCCGGAGACCTCCCCAGCCCTGCTGTGGACGGGGAAGGTTGGTGATGCGTCGGCGTTCCGGGTCTGGGGATCTCGGGCGTTTGTCCGCGACTTGTCTGCGGACAAGCTGTCCCCTCGCGCTGCTCCCTGCGTCTTCCTGGGGTTCCCCCCCGACGCCCCTGGGTGGCAGTTCTACCACCCCACCTCTCGACGTGTTCTGTCCTCCCAGGACGTCACGTTCGACGAGTCGGTACCCTACTACCGCCTCTTCCCCTACCGCACTCCGTCCCTCCCCCCGCCCCCGCTCTTCTTGGTACCAGGTCCCCCCCTGGTAGACCCCCTCCCCCCTCATGGTCCTGCCCCTTCAGGTGTGTCCCAGGTAGACGCGGTCTAGCCTGTCGAGGTCACTGGTGACTCTGGTCCTGCTGCGGGAGCTGAGCCTGGGGGTGCTGGGACTGGAGGTGCTACGCTTGGGGGTGCTGAGCCTGGGTGTGCGGAGTCTGGAGGTGCTGAGCCTGGGGGTGCTGAGCCTGGGGGTGCTGAGCCTGGGGGTACTGAGTCTGGGTGTGCTGAGCCTGGGGGTGCTGGGCCTGGGGGTGATGAGCCTGGGGGTGCTGAGACTGGGGGTGCTCCGCCTGGAGGTGCTTTGCCTGAGGGTGCTGAGCCTGGAGGTTCTTCGCCTGGTGGTTCTCCGCCTGGAGGTGCTTCGTCTCGTCGAGAGCCACTCTCCCCACAGGAGCTTCGTGAGTGGTTTGCCCGGCGCTGGAGGCGTGCTGCTGGTGCTGGAGGTTCTTCGGCTGCAGAGGGTGCTGCTGCCGCGCGTCCCGGAGGTGCTCGTGCTGTGGGTGCTGGAGCTGCTGGGCCTGCGGGTTCTCCTGGAGCTGGTGCTGCTGAGGGTGTTGGCGCTGAGACTACCGCTGGCGGTCTGACTGGCGGTGCTCCTGGTGCTGCTGGGGGTTCCGGAGCTACTGGAGGTGCTGCTGGAGGTTCTGGAGCTACTGGAGGTGCTGCTAGAGGTGCTGCTGGAGCAAGTACTCCTGCTGGGGGTACTGGTGCTGTCCCTGCTGTTTCTTGCGCCGCCACGCGGCCCTGACCGTACTTCGTTCCACTCCTGCAGCAGGTTCTTGGTCTTACACCTTCTCCTGGTCCTCCTCCTCCTCCCTTAGAGGGTCCACAGCCTGTCCCGTCACAGTCACAGCTACCGCCTGCCTCCCCTTTGCCTGCTCCTTCTCCCTACGCTGGTCCGACTGGAGGTCTTACTGAGCGTCGTGAGCCTGCGTCTCGTCCTGCGTCGCCTGTTCGTACTGCGCGCACTAGTGGTCGCGGTTCGCGTCAGCGTCCTTCTCCTGTCCCTGGCACGCACCGGATGTCTCTGCGTCCGTCCACTGCGTGCCCCTTTGCCTTTTCCTCCTGCTTCCTCTCTTCCTGCCCTTGCCGACCCAGAGTCGGACTCTCTTCGTGCTGCCAGTCCTACTGTCACGCGTCTCCTTGCTACTGCTGTCACTGACCCTTCTTTCGAGTCTTCTGCTGCGTCTGCCCTTGTCACTGAGCTCGTCGACTTTGCTGCGCGCTGTCGTCTAGACTACGTTGCTAGTCTTGTCGCTGAGTCTGAGTCTACCTGTCCTCCGTCCGTCGGGGGTGAGTGTGCCCTTGGCACGGACGTCCTTGAGGACAGGCAGGAGGAGTTCCAGTGTCTGGCCGCCGCTTCACCTCATCTCGCGTCTGTACTGCTAGCCCCTGAGGGAGACCCGGATGCACTTGACATCCCGACTCCGCGCTCTTACGCGGAGGCGATAGAGGGTCCCTACTCCTCTCAGTGGCAGGCAGCTATGGATGCAGAGATGGCTTCCTGGAAGTCCACAGGCACCTACGTTGACGCTGTTCCCCCTCCTGGGGCGAACATCGTCAGTGGCATGTGGATCTTCAGGGTGAAGCGGCCGCCGGGTTCTCCGCCTGTCTTCAAGGCGCGTTACGTGGCTCGTGGTTTCAGTCAGCGGCAGGGAGTTGACTTCTTTCAGACCTTCTCCCCGACCCCGAAGATGACCACTCTTCGGGTACTACTGCACGTCGCTGCTCACCGTGACTACGAGCTGCACTCTCTCGACTTCAGCACTGCTTTCTTGCTGGGCAGCCTGCACGAGGAGATCTGGCTGCGCCGCCCTCCTGGCTTCACTGGGTCTTTCCCTCCTGGTACCCAGTGGAGTCTCCGGCGTCCAGTCTACGGTCTCCGCTAGGCGCCACGTGAGTGCCACGACACACTGAGGACTACGCTGGCGGCACTTGGGTTTGCTCCTTCTACTGCCGACCCGTCGCTGTTTCTGCGCACCGACACCTCTCTGCCGCCGTTCTACATCCTCGTGTACGTCGACGACTTGGTCTTTGCCACAGCTGACACTGCTGGACTCGCCTACGTGAAGTCCGAGCTGCAGAAGAGACACACGTGCACTGATCTGGGTGAGCTGCGCAGCTACCTTGGCTTGCAGATCACCCGGGACAGAGCACGCCGCACCATCACCCTGACTCAGTCACACATGGTGCAGCAGGTCCTTCAGCGCTTCGGCTTCACGTACTCCTCGCCTCAGGCCACTCCTCTGCCTACTCGCCACTCGCTCTCAGCTTTGCCTTCGGATGAGTCCGTAGAGTCGAGTGGCCCGTATCCAGAGCTTGTCGACTGCCTCATGTACCTGATGACCTGCACACGACCTGACCTTGCATACCCTCTTAGCATTCTTGCACGCTATGTTGCTCCTGGGAGACACCGACCAGAGCACATGGTTGCAGCGAAGAGGGTGTTGCGCTACTTGTGCAGTACGTCGGGCATGGGGCTAGTGCTTGGAGGGCGCAGTCCAGTGGTCCTCACTGGGCACGCGGACGCTTCTTGGGCTGACGACCAGGCTACACAGCGGTCGTCACAGGGTTACACCTTCAGTCTTGGTTCCGGCTCTGTTTCGTGGCGGGCTACCCGCTCGTCTTCTGTTCTCGGCTCCAGTTGTGAGGCTGAGATCTACGCCGGGGCTATGGCTGCACAGGAGCTTCGCTGGCTCACCTACCTGCTTACCGACCTTGGAGAGCCGCCTCGTTCTCCTCCAGTCCTGTACGTAGACAACAAGGCCATGCTGGCCTTGTGTCGAGAGCAGCGACTGGAGCACAGGACAAAGCACATTGCTCTCCGCTACTTTCTTGCGCGTGAGCTGCAGCAGCGTGGATAGTTGCGGTTTGCGTACGTGGCCTCTGAGGCCAACACCGCTGATGTCTTCACCAAGGCACTTGCGCCTTGTGATCATCAGCGCTTCTGCACTCAGTTGGGACTTGTACTTGTCTTACCTCACTTGCTTACTTCTTGACCTTGCTTGTACTGTCACATATATATACTCTTGCTCTTGCTTGTTTAGCCTCTTGTATACCTATATATGTGCTCTTGCATGTGAACTGGCCTTTTGGCCTTTGAACTTGTGCTCGGAATGTGTGGTGACTTTGTGATCCACCCTGAGCTTTGCCTTGCTTTGCTTGACTGGTCTTGTGACCCCTTGTTTTCCCCCACTTTGCCTATGGGGGTGTGTCAGAACATTATAGCTTACTTATTTGTGTAGGCTATAGTGGGGTATCCCATAGGGGGTACAACCCCGTTAGGGTTTCCTATTTGTACTCACTTCGTTCATAGTTCACTCATTCTCTCGTTCACTTCTTCTCACTAAGGGTCCGTGTTTTCGGTGTGGGAAGGTGGGGCACTACAGGAAAGACTGCCAGGAGAAAATGCCGCTGACAGGGGACGACAGCAAGGAGCAGGGAAATGGGAAGAGTCAGTAATTAGCGGGCCCTTTACTGAATGTGCTCCGTCGCCCGAACACCATCATCCCCACCGAGTCGTGGTTCCGATTCATGCAATCGATCGCACTCGGCCGAATAACGGGGATAATCATGTAGATCACCCTGTGCTGGTCGCTGGCAAGGTGTTAAAAAATAATCTGAAAGTGTTCGTCGATGGTGGGGCCAGCCATAGCCTCTTCAACTTGGCGAGCGCAAAAAGATGCAAGCTGCAACTTGACAGGTGTCTGCCCAAAATTGACGCTCGCCTCGTGGATGGGACGCCTCTGGCGATAACGGAAGAAACACGGACGGTCAGGATCGACTGCGGCGACGATTTCGGCTTCAGCATGAAGTTTCTCGCAACAACATTGGACGGCTGCGACGTACTGCTGGGACGTGATTGGCTGCGACGGCACAACCCCGTCATCGACTGGACAACGGGATCGTGCAGCATCAGCAAGCACGAGGGGTTAATAAAATTACCTGCATGGACACCTGACTACATCCAAGCCCCGTGCGTCAAAGCTATCACTATAGCTCGCCACTTCAACAGAGGCGCACAGCTGTTCGCTGTTTGCTTACGCGAGTTGGCAATCGACACCGAGGGAAAGGACATCGAGAAGCTGTGTGCAGCTGTACCACCGGATTTAGCGGAGCTGATTCGGAGATACCCGGACATTTTCCCCGACGACCTGCCACCTGGACTGCCACCCGAGAGACCTGAGGACCACAAAATCTAGCTGGAACCTGGCGCGCAGCCGACTGTTCAGACACAATGGCGGTTGACCCAGCCGGAACTCGAGGAGCTGCGAAGTCAAATTGATGCACTGTTGGAGAAGGGGTTTATTCGGGCCAGCACATCTCCCTTCGCAGCACCGATCCTGTTCACTCCGAAGAAGGACGGCGGGCTTCGCATGTGTATCGACTATCGTGCGCTGAACCGGGTCACCATCAAGTCTCGCTACCCAATCCCATGCACCGACGACCTCCTCGACCAACTCCGCGGCGCTCGCTATTTCTCGAAGATTGACTTACGTGGCGGTTACCACCAGATCCGAGTCTTCGCCGACGACCGTCACAAGACTGCGTTTCGCACACGCTACGGGAGTTACGAATTTACAGTGATGCCTTTCGGCCTCACGAACGCGCCTTCAACTTTTCAACTGACCATGAACAGGGTTTTTTCGGGATCTTCTAGACCGTTGTGTCATCGTCTACTTGATCGATATCCTCATTTTTAGCAAGACACGGGAGCAGCACCTCCGAGACCTGGATGAAGTGTTTAAAAGGCTGCAGGAAAACCGACTCATAACCAAGGGCTTTAAGTGCGAGTTTTTAAAGCAAGAGTTGGAGTTTTTGGGGCACGTAATCTCGCGCGACGGCATTAAAATCGACCCGGCGAAAATCAAGACCATACAGGAGTAGAAGTCCCCGACGAACGTCACGGAACTCCAGAGTTTTCTCGGATTCGTGAATTATACCAAATATGGCGGGGATAACCGGCCCGCTGACCGACCTGCTGCACAAGGACAAAAATTTTGTGTGGGGGGAGGAGGCAGACGCGGCTTTCCAGGAACTCAAGAATTTTCTAGTTTCCCCTCCTGTACTGCGCATCGCCGACCCATCGAAGCCGTTCGAAGTTGTAACCGACGCCTCAGATTTCGCCATCGGGGCTGTGCTTCTCCATCAGTACGGCACAAAGCTACAGTTCTCAACGGCATATCACCCACAGACGGACGGTCAAACGGAGCGGACCAATCAGACCATGGAGCAGCTGATCAGGACGAACTGCCCCGACCCGGCCCGCTGGGAGGATTCACTCGCAATGTTGGAATTTGCTTTCAACAACGCGCCGTCCAGCACGACTAATCACTCCCCGTTTTTCCTAAATTACGAGATGGACCCGACGGTTCCTACCACAACTTCTCTCGACAACCCGGTCCCGAGGTCACAAACTTTTGTGATGGAACTCCAGGAAACCTGAGAAAAGGCAGCTGACGCAATTCGCAAGGCGAATGCCACTTCCCGCAAATACGCAGATCTTCTACGCCGGGAACTCGTCTTGACCACTGGGCAATTAGTACTCCTTGACACGAAGAACCTGCACCTGCCCGGCGCGTCGAAACTACGGCCACGATTTTGTGGGCCGTTCAAGATAATCAAAATGGTGACACCTGTCACCGCGAAGCTGTTGCTACCCGACGACTGGCGAATCCATGACGCCTTCCACGTCAGCCTTCTTCGCAAGTTCGTGCCAGCCACGACCGAACTCGCCCGTCAGCAAGCGGCCCCGACAGAGCGACCTGTTCCTGAGCCAACCCTTGACCCTTCGAGAATCCTGGCTCATCGGGTCCGCCTTGACGCAGCTGGCCGACACGTGGATTTCTTAATCCGCTGGACTGACTGCACTGGTGAAGACGACACGTGGGTGCCATCCGCCTCGCTCGATGCCTCGCCCCTTGTTGGTAATTACTTGGCGCGCAAGCGTGTTTCGGATATTGACCGCCTTTCTTAAGGAGGGGGGTGGTGTAAGGAATTTTCCCGAATTCCTTATCGGGGTTGACTGCTTCGCGTACAACCCGATCTTCGGAGTTCGCACGTCCGGCCGATTTCAACGCTGCCGAGGCTCCTCGCGTCGCCTTCGGCATTTCCATCGCCAAACTTGCACCCAACCTCGTCTTCCGAGGTTTCCTCCTAGCTAGGCTAGCCCTACATTAGTCTGTGCACTCATTGTATTCTCAGCTCATTCAGTGACAAACTCGTTATTCGTTTACCTGCGCACTCTCTTTTACAACTCATAACATGAATGGTAAAAAAGGAACGCGTATGGTCACTGTGTTGGGTTTGCTGACGGGCTGGGTACACATGATGCCCAGCCACTGTGCGCGAATTTACCCCGCCCATTTCAGAATCTCTGCACCCGTGTTTTTTATTCCAATCAGTTGCACCCAGTTTATAGGCACGCGGATCAACTTGCATTTGGGCGAGAAAACGCCAAAGTATGAATCTTAGGCGCAAATCAAACCATGCTGACCCAGTTTGTTCTTGTTTCTCGGCCAGAAACAAGCATAAACCCTAAACCCTGAACTAACAACAACACAGGCTCACCAGATTTGTTTTGGAAAAAACAAACGAGCTACAACCTGCGTTTTTTAGAAGGGTTTTTAGTTGATCGAGAAGTACTACCGGAAAAATGTTTCTCCGAAGGTTTTGCTAGCTCTTTCGGGGAACAGTTACGTGCATTTTCAATCTGAGAGCGTTCAGTTATTACACTCGTAAGGAAGTCAAAACTGTGAGAATTGAAACGGGAATGATTCAACTATGAAAGAGTTGGGTACAAGTACTAACCCTAATTGGGTTGTACCCCCTATGGGCTACCCCACTACAGCCTACACAAATGTATAAGCTATATGTTCTGACACACCTCCATAGGCAAAGTGGGGGAGAACAAGGGGTCACAAGACCAGTCAAGCAAAGCAAAGTAAAGCAAGCCCAAGGTGGATCACAAAGTCACCACACATTCCGAGCACAAGTTCAAGGACATAAGGCCAGTTCACATGCAGGATTACATATATATACAAGGCTAGACAAGCAAGAGCAGGTATATATATATGTAACAGTACAAACAAGGTCAAGGGGTCAGCAAGTGAGGCAAGACAGGGACAAGACCCAGCTGAGTGCAGAAGCGCTGATGATCACAAGGCGGAAGTGCCTTGGTGAAAACATCAGCAGTGTTGGCCTCAGAGGCCACGTACGCAAGCCGCAACTGACCACGCTGCTGTAGCTCACGAGCAAGGAAGTAGCGGAGAGCAATGTGCTTTGTTCTGTGCTCCAATCTCTGCTCTCGACACAAGGCCAGCATGGCCTTCTTGTCTACGTACAGGACTGGAGGAGAACGAGGCGGCTCTCAAAGGTCGGTCAGCAGGTAGGTGAGCCAGCGAAGCTCCTGTGCAGCCATGGCCCCGGCGTAGATCTCAGCCTCACAACTGGGGTCGAGAACAGAAGACGAGCGAGTAGCCCGCCACGAAAAAGAGCCGGAACCAAGGCTGAAGGTGTAACCCTGGGACGACCGCTGCGTAGCCTGGTCGTCAGCCCAAGAAGCGTCTGCGTGCCCAGTGAGGACCACTGGACTCCGCCCTCCAAGCACTAGCCCCATGCTCGACGTACTGCACAAGTAGCGCAACACCCTCTTCGCTGCAGCCATGTGCTCTGGTCGGTGTCTCCCAGGAGCAACATAGCGTGCGAGAATGCTAAGAGGGTATGCAAGGTCAGGTCGTGTGCAGGTCATCAGGTACATGAGGCAACCAACAAGCTCTGGATACGGGCCACTCGACTCTGTAGACTCATCCGAAGGCAGAGCTGAGAGCGAGTGGCGAGTAGGCAGAGGAGTGGCCTGAGGTGA